GCCGCCGCTCTTTATGCCCCGGCGCGGGGCTGCCCCGGGCGCAGGTAGCGGCCGAAAGCAGAAGCGAGACCGGCCCCGCCCCGAAAAGCCCGGGGTGTTTCCTCGCCGAGGGACGGGACCGGGCGTCCGAGCCCCCCCCCCGCCGAGCCCAGGCGTCCGGGCGCCGCACCCCGGGGGCGGAACCAGGCGTCGGGGCTCCCAGCCACCCCCTCCAGCACCCGGGAGTCCGGGACTCCCCCGCTGGGGTCCCCCTTCCTTCTAGTGCCTTCCCGGAGCTGAGGATGGGGCCTGGGCAACCCACCACCCCTGGCTGGTTCCCCTCCCTGCCCAGGGGCTGTTGGAGGGGAAGGGGCAGGAACTGCCCTCTGCTATGGCAGTAATGCCCCTAAACAGCCCCTGCTAAGCTGGGCGGGCATAGGGGGCAGCAGGTTGGGAGTGAGGGGTGCTACTGGTACCACCCCCCCACCAGCCTACGCCAGGCTGCTTCAGCACCTGATACGGGGGGGCGCTGGGTCAATTGAGGCTCCAGCCCCTCCTCAAGTGCCAGCCCCTCGGCAGGGGGTATTTGGCTCATGGATCCTGGGGCAATCCCGGCTCTACCCAATGAAATCTGGCCTGGCCCAGCTGCGTCCCCCCGCACCCCCACCCAGTTGTATTGCAGCGCCGGGTACTGCACGCGCCTCTGCAATCCTCCCACCCGCCCTGTTGCATCACAGCCCACATGGGAGCTGGGGGGGGGAGGGGGGGTGGCAGCTGGGGACTCCTGGGTCCTCTCCCAGGAGGAACCCAGGAGTCTCCTCTACCCCAGGACCTGCTGCTTGGGGTATCAGGGGTCACTGGGGTAGGGGGCTAAGTAGAGCAGAGCCGTGGGGCTCCGTGGCCCTGATCCTGAGCCAAGGACGCCTGGGCCGTGCCCTGCCAGGCAGGTGACACATGGGTCAGCGCCTCGGAGTCCCTCTGTCCCTGGAGTTTCCTGCCTGGGTCAGGCGGGGGATTCCCTTGTTCCTGGGACCCTGCCCGGGCCTGGCCTGGCCTGGAAAATCCAGGCAGCAGGAAGGCTGCAGGCTAAGACTGGCATTCCCACCCCCTGGCACTGGGGTGGCTCCCAGCGCCCCCTCCACCCACCCCTGGAGGCTGCCCCAGGGGAAGAGGAGGAAACACCAGCGGATCCCAGCCTCACCACAACCCGCCGCAGCGCGGTCCCAGAACCGCAGCAGGTGGGAAGGAGGAAGCCATGGGTTATTTGCATGCGCTATTGCTGTGGCCTCTGTGGCCCTTCCATTGACGCCTGGCCCGGATGACAGCCTGGCTTGCGCTGGCCAGGATGTTCCAGGAGCCACGGGCCGGGGTGGGGCAGGCCCTGACCTGGGCATGAGTGTGCTGGCCGAGAGGGCAGAGATTTCCCAGGAATTTCCTCCATGAGCTCAAGTTTCCTTCACCAGGTGCCGGCAAGTGAGTGCGAACGGTTCCCCAGGGCCATGTGTGGGGTCCATGGGGGCAAAGGGCTCCCACCAGTCTGCCCCTTCCCCTGGCTGGTGCCGGATGGTTCAGGCCCCCACGTGCTCAGGATCCCAGTTTGAGGCCATCAGGGAGCCGAGCTGGAACCGCCCCAGTGTGGTCAGGCAACCCCGGGCTGGGGCCACTGCTGGACCCCCAGGGTGGCAAGTCCCATCCCCCAGATTGGCGCAGCCCCCTGGGCGGGGGTAAAGGGGCCAAGCTCATTGGACCCATGTAAATCCGGTCTTTTCTTTTCTGGGGAAGGGGCTGAGTGTGTGGGGTCAAAGCCCAGGGTCAGGCAGGGCCTTGGACCTTCCCCTACTGTGCTTCCAACAGACCCCCGTGTTTGGGCGCACGTTTTAACGGGCCAATCTGGCTGCAAGATCCCAGAGTGGGAAGATCCCGGGGGCACGGAACTGCGTGGGGCGATGGCAGCAGGGTGGATGTCGCTGGCCCTTTAAGTGAACCCAGCTGCTGCCAGGCTCTTCAACATCTCACAGCCGTAATGGGAAGGGCCCCGCGCTTTATGTCCGCTGCTTCTTTCCGTCGTGTGCTCTCGGCTAAGCTTGGCAGAGCCCTCGGCTCGCCCCTGCTTGGATCTGATTGGTCCGCCGTCCCCGAGGCTGGCCTTTCATTGGCCACGGGGCCTGTCACAGGGGAACGGCCGCCGTGGAGTTTGTTCGAGCGCTTGGGGCAGTAGAGGAGCCCACGGGCGGGGGGGAGGATGCGACGGGCGTTGCCATAGCAGCGGCGACGACGGCGGCAGCGGTGGGGAATGGAAAGCAGCTCCGGCCCGGGCAGGGTCGCAGCGGACCGTGGCGGCTGCCGGGGGAGACGGGCGACCCTCGAGCGCAGGGGACTCTGGGTAACGCCGCCGCGCCGCGCGAAGGATTCTGGGTATCGGGCGGGGGGCCTGGGCGAGACGAGGGAGCAGAGGATTCTGGGTAACGGGCCCTGTGCTGGGGCAGAGGATGCTGGGTAGTCCACCCCCCCGCCAGCAGAGGGCAGCGGGTCCCTTGACCACAGCGCAAGGTCTTCTGGATAATAATCTCTGGAGCAGAGGGTTATGGGTAAGCCCCCAAACCAGGTGTCTGTGGTTAATTTGACTATAGAGCAGAGGGTTATGGGTAATAGTTTCTGGAGCAGAGGCTTCTGGGTAACCCCCCACACCAGGATGCTGTGGGTAGCTTATGGGTAGTCCACCAAACTAAGGGGCTTTGGGTAATTTGCCTACAGAGCAGAGGCCTTTGGGTAATCCAAACCAGGAGGCTCTGAGTCACCTGGTCACAGAGCAAAGGCTTTTGGGTAATTTCTCCATACCAGAGGGTTGTGGGTCACTTGGTCACAGAGCAGGGGCTTCTGTGTAATGCTCTCTGGAGCAGAGGCTTCTGGGTAATACAAGCCAGGGGGCTCTGAGTCGCATGGTCACTGAGCAGAGGGTTTCTGGAGGAGAGGCTTCTGGGTTATCCCTCACACCAAGGGGCCATGGGACGTGTGCCCACAGAGCAGAGGCTTCTGGGTAAGGGTGTCTCCCCTATATCCCCAGGCTCAGCTGGGCCAAGGCAGCAGTTGCCCACCTCTGTCCCTGCCCCTGCCAGAGAGGCCCGGCCCTGGCAGCTTGCAGCCTGTTGCAGGGGGCAGCATGAACTGCAAAGTGGGGGTGGTTCTGGGCAGGGTCGTGCCCCACAGCCGGTCTGGCAGGGACAGTGCCTGTGCATGGAGTTGCAGCCGTGCCTGAGGTCCCACAGGCCTGGAGTAGTTGAGGCACAAATGTGGCTCCTGCATCCCTACACGGGCTGGAACCTGCCCAGCTGGCTCCTCCCTAGAGCTGTGGGGCGCCCTTGGGGCATAGTGAGTGCCCCTCTCTCAGGTCCGTGGCCCATGGGCTTGAATTCAGGGGGGGCCCTATGGTGGGGGGGAGCCTGGCAGCCTTTCCCATGGCACCCAGGTCCAGCCCTGCCCTGTCTCATCTTCCAGGGAGACACCCGCGTTCACCATGAACTTTGAAGGCCTGGACCCATCATCACTGGCGGAGTACGCCTCCCCCCTGCACCCCGCCCTGGAGCCTGTGCTGGACCCCCACCTGCCCGCCACCCTGCTGCAGAATGTGGAGCTGGACCCCGATGGTGTGGCCCTAGACGGCATGGCCGTGCCTGAGTCAGTGCACATCATGGAGGGTGTCTACTCGGAGCTGCACACGGCCATGTCCGAAGTGGGCGTCCCTGTCTCAGTTGCCCACTTTGACCTGCATGAGGAAATGCTCTGGGTCGGGAACCACGGGGTAGGTGCTGGGGCATAGTGGGTTTGTGGGCAGGAGCGGTATGGAGGAAAGAGTTCTCTGCGGGTCTGGGATCCAGGGCATGGAGCTGACCCTGCAGGGATGGGCAGTGAAGGCACGTGGGTTCCACAGGGACTGGAGCAGGGTGGGGGCCTTTGTGCCTGGTTGGGTCAGTGCTGGCCTGGCTCTGCTGTGACAGCACAGATCCCCTCCCTGCCCAGCCCTGCACCCCCCCTCCCCGTCTCTGTTGGGGCCACTTGGGTGACTCTCCTACTACGATGCTGCTTGGTCAGATACAGAGCACTGAGGGCAGCCTGGCCTGGTGCCTGTTCCCAGGCTTCCCTAGCACCCTTCCCTGGTCCCCAAGGCCTCTGGCCAGGCCCCCCAACTGTGCTGGGTGAGTACCGATGATCTGCCCCCGGTGCCCACACAGGGCCATGCCACCTCATTCTTCGGGCCCACGTTGGAGCGATACTCCTCCTTCCAAGTGCACGGCAGCGACGACGTTCGCCACATCCAGAGCCTGGAGAATGGCGTCCTCTTCCTCACCAAGACCAACCTTAAGTACATGTCCCGAGGTGGCCTCATCATTTTCGACTACCTGTGAGTCCCCACGGGGCTCTGGGGGCTGGGTGGGCCAGGCAGCAGCTTGGGGTGGGGGCTGCTGACAGTGGGGGGACCTGGGCTTTGCAGAGGCCCAGCGATTGCCTTTGCCTGGGGGCTGAGCAGAGCTGGCTTCATCTCGGGTGAGGGCACATCAGGGCCCAGGAAGGGGGAGGGGGCTGTGGCAAGCTTCATAGTTTCTAGGGTCGGAAGGGACCTGAGCAGATCATCTAGTCCAACCCCCTGTCATGGCAGGAAAGAGTACTGGGGTCAGACGACCCCAGCAAGGTGTTCATCCAGCCTCCTCTTAAAGACCCCCAGGGTAGGAGCCAGCACCACCTCTCTTGGAAGTTGGTTCCAGATCTTAGCTGTCCTGACCGTGAAGTAACGCCTCCTGATATCTAGCTTAAACCTACCTTCTGCCAGCTTGTGACCGTTATTTCTGGTCACTCCTGGCAGTGCACGGGGGAATAGTGACTCCCCCAGTGCCTGCTGATCCCCCCTGACTAGTTTATAACGGGCCATTAGATCCCCCTCTCAGCCTTCTCTTTTGGAGGCTGAACAGGTTCAGGTCCCGTAGCCTCTCCTCATAGGGCCTGCCCTGGTGCCCCCTGATCATGCGAGTGGCCCTCCTCTGGACCCTCTCCATGTTGTCCACATCCCTCTTGAAGTGCGGCTTCCTAGACCCTGGGGGTGTGAGCTCACTCCTGTCCCGCATCCCCCCCTCCCAGCATGGATGAGAGTGAGGACATGCACAGCCTCCTGCTGACAGACCCCAGCACGCTGTTGGTCGGCGGCCTGCAAAACCATGTCATTGAGATCGATCTCAACACGGTCCAGGAGACTCAGAAGGTGCGGCAACTGGGCCCCGTCCTTGTGGGGGGCAGCAGGACTCTGAAAGCCCTGACCTCCCAGGAGCTGGTGGGCTAGGATGTAACCCAAGAGTCTGGGCCCCATGCAGCCAGCGGGCAGTTGCCCTCTGCTCCGTGCTCACCCCACCTCTTCCCCTGCAGTACACGGTGGAGGTGCCCGGCATCACCATCATGCGCCAGTCCAATCGCTTCTTCTTTTGCGGACACACATCAGGAAAGGTAGCACAGTCCGGGCCTTACCCATGGGACCCCCCTGCCTGTCCGCCCCCGCCCCCACCCCCAATGCAGCCCCGTCATGACCCCTCCCTGCCTCCAGGTGTCAGTGCG